CACACCCACAGATTCTCGAATAACAATACGAGAATAACAACCCAATAACACAAATTCCAACCACATCCCCCACGATTATCGCGATTACAGCACCTCTACTCAGACCTCTACCATTCCCATCCCCTCCAACACCATCTAAGGGAGGTACGTTATTAGGCAAGAAAGGTTCCGAGGACGGTGAACTTGCGTCACTTTGCGCAGAACACTGGTTTTTCAACGGAGGTCCACAAAGCCCAGGATTTCCAATAAAAGCAGTAGGTCCTCTGTTAATCAGAGCACCATTTTGTGGAATTGGACCACTCAAATTGTTATAAGTCAAATCAATATACACCTTCTCAGGAAGATTACCAAGACTAACCGGAATCGAACCACTAAACAGATTATGAGACAAATCAACAGTTCCTTTCAAATTAGACAAATTTCCCAAATCACTTGGAATTTTACCATCAAATTTGTTGAATCCAAGATCAAGTTCTTCCAATGCAGACAAATTACCCCCAAACCCCTCAGGTACAACACCAGTAAAGTTATTATGACTTAAATGAAGAAACTTCAATCTCTTACACTGAAGTAATGTTATAGGCACAGACCCATTCAAGAAATTATGTGATAAATCCAAAGTTTGAAGATAATTTAGCTTCCCAACCTCAATAGGTATAACCCCAGAAAAGGAATTCCCATAAAGAACCAAACTTTGCAAACCTTGAACCTCAAAAAGCTCAACAGGTAAACTACCAGAAAACAAATTACTTCTCAAATTAACATGTCTAAGCTCAGTAAGAGATCCAAGACTAGAAGAAAGAAACCCAGTGAGTTTCTTTTTAGGTATACTAACAGATACAACTTTTAGGTCTTTGCATGTAACACCATTCCAAGAACAAGGGGTTTCATCAGAAAAGTTCCAATTTTTAAGTGACCCTTCAGGGTCTTGTCCAATACCTTTTTTGAATGACCAAAGAGCTATTCCTTCATCATTCAAAGAAGTAACAAAAACACAACTACACAGAATCAAGAAAATGCAAAAAAACAAAAAAGATTGCATTTTTATCTACAAATATGATGAAATCAAGAACAGTGACAGCTGAAAACTGAAAAATGAGCAAAAGGGTGTCTCAAAGACCTTACCTTTTGTACACCAGATAACCAAGAATGGAGCTTAAGATAGAAAAAAGAGTGTGAAAGGTGAGACTTTTGAGAGTGAGAAAAGGTAAAGTTGATTTCAGCTAAGAAAATAAAGAGACGTTGGGAAAATAGATTAATGTTTTTCTCAACTTTTGGGAAAAACAAACAGAAGAAAGAACTAAAAAGAAGCTTTAATGTAGTATATCAATGTAGTGGGGTTATAAGGATATATATGGGACAATTTTAGGACCCATTAAGGTAAATGTAGAAAAAACAAGATTTTTTGAAACAGTTGAAATAATAACAACAATTGCACCAACGAGAGCTGTGATGGAGTGGTAACTAATTATTTATCCTTAACAAACGTTTCGTGTTTAAGTCCTCTTGGATACATAATTCCTTTTGTTAGGCAGTCTTTAGAACATTTATGAAAGGAACATTAACAATAATAATAGATAACGATAAAGTTCTCTTGGTACGGAGTCGCTATGGTAAAACATGATTCAAAACATTTATGAAAGGAACAAATAGACAACAAATGATATCAGATATCAAAAGAAAGAAACTATATGAATAGAGTTAATACTATGATAGACACGATGCTCTACCACCAAGACTAATCACGTTAAAAAATAAGAGATGTTCAACTATTTGTTAAGCTTCTACTCTAATCATAACCTTCATACCTTCCGATTTAAAGTGGAAAAAAAATGAGAAAAATATTACGCCGATATTATTTTTATTTTTACGTAAACTTTAATCACATTTTGGGTACTGAAGTAATGCATGCTTAGATGGATACCTTCCGATGAAATCTGTATTATAAGAATTTATCATGAATTAATAAAATTTATGTTGATTTTTAGTTACCATAATTCTTCTCTTTTAATTTATTGGATTTGAGATAGACAATTTAAAGTTGCTAGTATAGGAGTCAAATCTAATTGAATCAACTACACTCTAAATTAATTAGAATCAATGAATGATCTAGTTTTTGAAACCTTCTCTAACTTTATGATGTGATGAGTTTATATTCAGATGTCAAATTTAATTGATTAAATTAAAATAATAATAAGAATTTTGTATATATCAATCTAATCAAACAGAATGACCAATTATCACCATCTAGTTGTTTCTCTCTCTTTTACAATCAATATTACTACAACACTCCCTTCCATAATAAATGGTTTTCGATTCTATGAATAGAAGCTTTTGAGAGCCATCGATTTATAATCTACGACATATTTTAATCCACCAAGTAAGAGTCTTTTAACGTTCAATAACATATTTGTATAGTCATTAAAATCTCATTATAATATATTTTACATCTTCTTTCATCTTTTCTCTCTCTCTCTCTCTATATATATATATACTAATCAATTATTTTTACATAAATCAAAAAATAAATTATTATTTTTTCTAGAAATTGGAAATATGTACCAAGTGATGGACCATACCTTATGAAAAGAAACATAAATTAAAGAAATGACAACTCACAACAAGTTAGGTTTGGGGTAACTCTATTATCTTATCAACAAAATGGTAAAAGTACAAACTAGCTAATTTTGTAATAATAAACAAAATTTGAGGACCACTTTTTTTGTTTTTTGGTTTTTGAGGGGTTAGAATTACAAGAAGAGATGTAGGGCCAAGATTTAAAGTTGGTAAAAAAGTGTCCACATATGACAGTGAGGATTGTCTTTATATTGTTGGACAATTGGGTTAAAAATAATCTATTGTTAATTAGCAAAATTAAATATAGTAATTAGTAACAGATTTCTATAAAAGCATGCACTTTGACTGACTAATTAATCACTCTACATGCTTTATTTGACCTAAAAATATTCTTCATGCCTTAGGTGAAGTGATTTCTAAATCTCTTGAGATGATTTCGGAATTAAAGTCTTATGTGATTAACACTTTAATAAATCAAGAATTTATTAAAAATAATATTTCTATCCCTCACAAAGATAAAGTTTACGTACAATCAGGGGTGGAGCCACCTTATACTAAGGGGTTCATCCGAACCCCTTTCGGCGGAAAATTATCTTATTTATACTTGATTAAAATAATTTTTTATGTATATATAGTAGATGTTGAATCCCCTTCGGCTACTTCATTTGTCTATTTCTATAGATTTTGAACCCCTTATTGAAAATTTTGGTTCCGTAACTGCGTACAATATGACCTTTTTCATATTGTGAGAATATTATCCTGATATGTTTTATTATTATATAAAAGATTGTATTCTCAATACTAAGCCTCAAAAGAGAACATTTTTTTTTTAATTTGCTATGGTTAATTAGTAAAAAAGTATAATATAGAGTACATGTGGATCCAATAATTTTGTCTAAGAAATTCTTCCTATTTTTGTTTTGTTTTTGTTTTATTTACTTTTAAAATTGCCTCTATAATATACAAGTTGGTCCCAATATTACATAATAATCATAGCCCAAATGAAATAGATGCCGTCCACTTTATTTTATATAATATAAAAAAAACATTTCTAAGTAAATTTGGATAATATCAATCAATCAACTATTGATTTATTCTATCAAAACAATGCCAAATTAGTTGATGTACATAGGACTTGATATGTGATGAGACAATATTTTGGAAGTTAATATAGCAAATCGTTCGTTAGAAGTTCTACGTAATATAGAAATAGTGAAAACTTAGTATATCAAATAGTTCGTTAGAAGTATTATACAATTGTCGCAATAGTAAGATGTTGTTATATGGTAGAAGACAGTGATGAACTCAAGATTTTCACTAAGAAGGTCCAAAATATAAAAGAGTAAACACATAAAAAATTAAAGAGAGTTCAACATACATACATATATATAAATATTTTTTTAACTATATATAACTAATGTAATTATCTATTGAATGGAGTTCAAATGAATCACCTCAACTCTACCTATCTCAGCCACTAATAAGTCACTTGGTTAAAGCAAAAAAAAAAAAAAAATTACAAGAAAATTAAGATTAACTATTAAATTCTACGTTATTTGATTATTTCTTAAACTTTGTGCATAATTATTCTACACTACATGCAAATAATCACAAATGATCTATTCAAAATTCATAATCTAGCGTGATTAAAGGAGCAGTCACGGAAAATAGTCAAATAGACCTAATTTCTAAGTCATTTTTCTAATTAAAATATATCTTTACTAACTGACTAAAATTTCAAGTCATTGAATTGTTTTCAATTAATTGATTATATAGTATTTTTGATGTATTATATTATCAATCAAAACGTCATTTGAAATATTAACATTATCATGTTGAATTACTCGCTCAAATTATTTATCGTAATTTCTAATAATAATTATCTTAAGTTATCTGTCATTTTAAATTTAAGATAAAAGCATGGTTAATCGGGTTGACAAATCAATCATCAGAAGTGATTCGAGTGCTTTTCATCAAATGACACATGCATTTTCTTCACATTTATATTTAGTAGTAACTGTTCTTGAATATGACACACACTTTAATTAGGGTAGATAATACATAAATATAGTCAATATTTAATGAAAAAATTATATCTTTAAAACATAGATAAGAGTAAAATATTAAAACACATTTCTTAATTAATATTTTATTAAAAAGTGTGTAAAAGAGAAAATTCAGTACTTAACTAGTATTATTTGCTTATTTTCATAGCCTACTTGTGAAATTATATCGGTGTGTTTGTTATAGTAGTAACTAATGTGGCAATAAAGTATTTTAATTTGATTTTCTAGTAATTTTTATTCTTAATTTTATTTTATTTTATTTTTAAAAAAATTTAAGACATAATTTAGTGATGCAATTAATTAACGAGCTTTGCTAATCACATTATGGTAATTTTCTAAATTTCTGGTAGTGCAACCAACGACGCCGTTTCGACGCAATCAATCTGACGGAGAAAGCAGACAAAAAATCTAGCGAACTGATCGTATTCGTCCATTGACGGCGACGGCGACGGCGACGATGACCGATAGTTGCCGCCGAGCTCTTGTGGAAGCTATACATTCGTCTCCTACTCAAGCTGTTATTTATCTCTCCGGCGGAGCCTCTCAGGTCTCTAGATTTGTTTTGTGATAAGTTTGTTGCTTTAGCTGAATTAACTGTTAACATCACTTTATGTTATGAATTTGTACAGGCGCTGGGGTGGTTGATGTCAGTTCCGGGAGCATCGAACACTGTGCTTGAATCTGTAGTTACATATTCCAGAATGTCTATGATTCAATTACTTGGCAAGGTAGTTTGATTTTCAAGTTTAATCATTGATTTTGCAATTATTGCGATTTCACTGCTAAGAAATTGTGTTTTTCATTTTTTACTGGAACAGGTTCCTGCTCAAGCTGCTAGTTCGCAAACGGCGGAGGAAATGGCATTGTTGGCTTATAATAGAGCATTAAAGCTTTCTAAACCAGGTAGTGATTTTGAATCTATTGGAATTTTGTGTTTGATTGTGGATTTTATGGTGTTATCTTGTACATTTATCTCTTAGCTAAACTAATTTGGCCACACATTTCTAGAAATTTTCTAGTTTAGTTAAGAGATTTGAAAAAACTGTCTATGTGAGCTCAAAGAATAGTCAGTTCCAAGCAAAAAGGAGGTAGGTAAATAGTTTAAATATGCTAGGGATGTGATCATACTAACAATAAGGCAAAAGATCTCATCAGAACTCGGAAGTTAAGCATGCTTAGGTGAGTGTAATACTAGTGTGTAACCTCAGGGGAAGTCCTCATGTTGCATCTTTTGCTGAACCTTACTTGTTTAGGGCCGATTTTACTTGATTGATAGTTAAGCATGTAGAGAACGATTAAAAAGATAAAACTTTCTAGTGTCAAATTGATGTGATTGGAAAACAATGAACAGACGGTTCATATCCTAGATGACTGCTTAATTAATCGGGAGTGATTTGTTTGATATATGTGTATGTAATAATTTGTATGCCATGCATAAATGATGAAGGTTTTCGGTTTTCCTATTATGACACGCTATAATGACATTCTAGTGTGTGAAACTTGTGCTTGCTACTGAAGATGTATAAAGGCAATAGGTACAACCGAGAAGCCTAAGGGGGTACCAAAAAAAAAGTAACTAGGTGTATCCGTATAGGTTTATTATTACTCTATCTAATAAATATTCTCTCTCACAAAAAGGAGGCACCCTAATTTTATCGTTCTTCCTCATTTTTATATTGGATTGTGTGCATGGTCGTAAAACAGTGAGGTCACTTTGATTCAAAGTCATCTGACTATTTTACACCTAGATGTGTATTACAAAGTTTCACCATTTATTATTAAGTAGCTTTTTATTCCTTGATATGTGTTGTTTTTTTTAAATGACGTGATTTCAATTTGTTTGATTATACAGGTTCACCAGTTCTAGGTGTGGGTTTTACTGGTGCCTTGGCTAGTGCACAACCAAAACGTGGAGATCATAGGTATTCTCATAGCATCAGTCAGTCTGTCCTGATATATCTTTTCAGATTCGTATTCCCTTAGGAGCAACTTGCATTCAGGAATTATCATTTTTGTTTCATATGTTCACTAGGAGGGGAATAAACTGGTTTTCTTTTAATGATTCACGTGAGATTTCTATTCTATAAGAAGAGGTGACTATCCTGATTACCATTTGCTTTTATGACAACATGAAATGGATCAGATTAAGGCAAACCATAGTATATGCTAAGATGTATTTGTTTATTTCTCTTTGAAAAATGGAGCTGGTCGACTAAAGGGTAGTCATTCAAGCACAAGATAATATTAATGACAACAGTTTCCTGCTTGATCTTGATGTCTAGAATGTCGTGAAAATAACTGTTTTTCTCGTTGGTTGAAGACATGCCAAAAGATTCTGCAGTCAGGAATAGTATATTTGTCTGCGTTGATGAACCTTATGCTAATATTTCATGCACATCTTACTTTTTAAGTTGGTATCAACTAAGCACAAATTTTGTTGACATCTTATATGTATGGACGTTAAGAACAAGGATTCTTCTTTCTGAAAATGTGGTTGAGTTGTGTTCATATTAGAATCATTTCATCTGTCAGCTGTATCCCCTAAAGGGAAGAATAAAAGCACCAAACTTTGCCTTTTTAATCAAGTTTGAAAGATCTGTATCCCTTCAAAGACACTTGTGGACCATGTTTGGATCTCTACAAAGGTGCCTTTTTCCCAATTAATTGGTATTCCTAGCATTGGAATTTTAATTTGAGAACTTATTCCGCATTCAGTTGTACTTCAAAATTTGGATCTCTTTCTGAGCCTTAGTAGTGCTTTATGAGTAGGTTTCACGTGTCAACCAGAACATCTGACCGGTTTTGGACCTCGACGGTTACTTTGACTAAGGTATTATTCATGCATGTTTCTCCTTGAGTCATCTTTACCTTCTTTATATTAGGGTCTTTGGATTTCAATGACTGAAGTTCTGCTTTTGCTTAAACTGAATGGATGGATACAGGGTCTGCGAACTCGTGAGCAGGAAGATGGAGTCTCGAGTCAATACTTAATCAAGGTGTGTATAAAATTTTGATAGAATTTCTAAAAGAGGAACCAGAACATTTCATACTCCCATTTGGGTAATTAAACAAGTTCAACATACAACCGCGCTGGTTAAATCAACTAAATGTACATAACCTAAACGAAATGCATAGTGCATGGCCAATTTGGAAATTCAAAGGTTCCAATTCTTTTTAGGTATTTCTCTATTTTCATAGCCAATGCTAGATGCTACTTATTATAGTGTTCTGATGGGATCCAGTGAATTATGCTGCTTATTATAGTGTTCGATGAATGTGTATATTATATAACTGTGCTCCTTAACGCAAATAATCAAAACTTAAACATTTCCAGTTTTTCTGTCAAAGTTCTTAGTTCTGCCTTTTATGTATTTCCCCAATTATCAAAACCAAAGCTAGATGCTACTTATTATAGTATATAATGAATGTTATAATACTAGGCTCCTTAATGTATTATATATACAAAATAATCAAAACTTAAACATTCCCAGATAGTATTCTCTAGTAGAAGCGATACTTTATTGCATTTATCTTGATATTGGGTGGGTTCAAGTTAATGTGTTATGGAAGGTTACATTGAATGGGCTTGTTTCCTCTATCATTTATCCATGCTTGTTTGTCCGGGGAGATAATAATATTTTCTCTTAGGTTTTGCAGCTATATATTTGTGTATCTTACAACTGAACGAGTCTATTAAGTGGATACGTTTTTGCTTGTTTGAGCACCATTGAGACTTTAAGACAATCACCGATAACCAGTAGAGTTTTAGTACGAAGTGTGGGTTTGTAGATGCCTAAAATGTAACTGTCTGCAGTTGAAATTTTCTGTAGATCCTCTTTGACACATTATTCAGTAGTATTTGCTAATCCTTCTATGCTGGAACTTTCATCAAATCCATCCTGTAGATTATTATATTCGCTTCTGTCTTCTGGTTCAGGCAATTGCAAATGCTAGCAAGGTTCCAGGAACTTTTGTTCCAGACTTGACTGAATCAGAAGTTCCAGATGAATATGAAAAGAAATTTGATGAAGAAGAAGAGCTAAAGCAACTTCTCAGTGGGATTATATGCTTCAAAGTGTATCCTTTCTCAAGTAGTATGTGTTAATGCAATCAACATAGCACATTCAGAAGCCAACAATTCACTGCATATGTTGATACATGAATTTTGCAGACACGTCTAATGTAGAGAAGAAAATAATCCTGTCTGGTTCCTTTAATCCATTGCATGATGGTCACCTTAAGCTCTTGGAAATTGCAACTAGGTACACATCTCTAACATCAAACATGGTTTTCAACTATTGAAAAGATTGATTTTTTGTAAGCATCACGAAAGATCTGTTTATCACTTAAGGAATTACATCTTATAGCAGAATGCCAAAATTTTTCATGCAGTATTTGCGGTGGTGGATATCCATGTTTTGAGTTGTCAGCTGTCAATGCAGACAAACCTCCATTGGAAATACCTCAAATCAATGATCGTGTTAAACAATTTGAAAAAGTTGGTAAGATTCTAAAATATGATACTTTACACACACAGATAGTAAGAGTTGAAAAGTTGGTAAGATTCTAAAATATGATACTTTACACACACAGATAGTAAGAATTGAAAAACGGCTACAATGACCTGTTTTTTAAATTCTTTGTCAAGCTTCTCAAAGGCTTAGAATGCTAAACTGTACTTTGAGGTTATTTCCTTCCAGAAACTAATCTATAAATCGCCACTCAGTCTTTGATGCAATACAATTAGGAAAACAAGAAAAGGAAATTCGAGAGAAGTATATGCATTCACTACAGTTTATCCATAGTGGTTTCATATCTAAGTATTATTACTAATAGAATAGGAATAGGTATACACAATCCTACTTAGAATAGGAATAGGAATGTAAATAGTATATAGTATCCTACTTGATGAAAAAGGATTATAATGTAGTGTCCTAGTAGGAAAAGGAGTCTAATTTAATGTCTATAAATAGGGTTTCAATGTAATAATATAGACACACAATTCAATAATACTCCTCTCCTATATTTCTCACATAGTTTCAGAGCTTGTACTCAATTAAGTATAAACATATTGTGAGTTGTGACATATTGCCGATTTTCACATATCTGCAAATCCCATTATGGCTCTCTTACAATCCTACCCCGACAATGAAATCGCTGAATCGACGCCACAAAACCGTAATTCCCAATTTTCTGACCAAAATCCTTCGGCTGATTCTTCCCCAATCCGAATGCTTCCTTCTAAATCCGCTGACGACACCATGCTAGCCCTAGCAGTCACCGGCAAAGCTGCCAGAGCTCAATCCAAACCCCTTGACCCGACCCAACACCTCGTTGGATTCAACTCAATGTACGAACAACTATGGGCACCAATTTATGGCCCAGCTCACCCGTACACAAAGGACGGGTTAGCTCAAGGACTCAGAAATCACAAGCTAGGGTTCGTTGAGGACGCGTCCATTGAATCCTTTGTATTTGACGAGCAGTACAATACTTTTCAGAAGTATGAGTATGCCGTTGATCCCTCTCAAAATAGCTACATCGGTGATTTGGAAAAAAATGAAGGGATGTGATGCTATTTCTGTGTATAACATACCACAGCATGAACAGAAGAAGAGGAAGTTAGAGAAAAAGAAGGAAAAAATGGAGGAGGAGGGTGATGAGCAGGAAGTGGATATGACGGAAGTTGATAATCCGTCCACAGACATGGGGTTGATGAAGAACAGGAAGAGTCCATGGGCTGGAAAGAAAGAAGGGTTACAAGTGGAATTATCTGAGGAGCAGAAAAAGTATGCTGAAGAATATGCTAAGAAGAAGGGTGAAGAAAGAGGTGGTGATAAAGATAAGGCGGAGCCTATGGTTGAAAAGAACACATTTCATGGTAAAGAGGAAAAGGATTATCAGGGCAGGTTTTGGATCGCTCCACCGAAGATGCAAAGGCTGCTAATGATCATTGTTTTATACCAAAGAGATTAGTTCATACTTGGAGTGGACACATGAAAGGGGTTTCAGCTATTAGGTTTTTCCCTAAGCATGGTCATTTGATTTTGTCAGCTGGGATGGATACAAAGGTGAAGATTTGGGATGTTTACAATTCTGGTAAATGTATGAGGACTTACATGGGGCATACAAAGGCAGTGAGGGATATTTGGTTTAGCAATGACGGGTCAAAGTTTTTGACAGCTGGATATGATAAGCACATTAAGTATTGGGATACAGAAACAGGACAAGTAATTCAAACGTTCTCGACGGGTAAGATACCGTATGTGGTGAGGCTTAATCCTTATGAGGATAAGCAGAATGTGCTTTTGGCTGGTATGAGTGATAAGAAGATTGTGCAGTGGGATATAAACAGTGGACAGATTACACAAGAGTACGATCAACATCTGGGGGCAGTTAATACAATTACCTTTGTGGATAATAATAAGAGGTTTGTGACCTCTAGTGATGATAAATCACTACGTTTTTGGGAATATGGTATTCCGGTTGTTATTAAGTATATAAGTGAACCCCATATGCATTCCATGCCATCTATTTCGCCCCATCCAAATGGGAATTGGATTGCAGCACAAAGTCTGGATAACCAGATTCTTATTTATAGTACGCAAGAGAGATTTCAGCTGAATAAAAAGAAAAGATTTGCCGGACACATTGTCGCTGGTTATGCCTGCCAGGTCAATTTCTCACCAGATGGACGGTTTGTCTTGTCAGGAGATGGTAAAGGCAGATGCTGGTTTTGGGATTGGAAATCGTGTAAGGCATTCAGAACTCTTAAGTGTCATGAAGGGGTCTGTATTGGTGCAGAGTGGTATCCTCTGGAACAAAGTAAAGTTGCTACATGTGGTTGGGATGGTTTGATCAAGTACTGGGACTAGTTTTTGGGCAGCCATTTCTGTCTCTACATTTATTACGAGGGCAACTTGTTCAATATCAGTTCGTTAGAGGAATCAAGACTCTTATATGCAGTGGGTGGTTAACTCGTCTGGGACACGTTGTCTAGCGGGACCAAGCTATGAATGAATTTGTTGGTCAATGCTAGTCTTTACCTCTGTAAAACAGGTTTTCTTCTCAGATGGTTTTCTTTGGTTGAGGTTGTACCAGTAGTTACTAACAGAGGACACATGTAACTTTCAGTCAAGTTATGATATTCCATAAGACAAGTTAGTTCGAAAATCAGTTGCATTTTCTTCTGTCAATGTCATGCACGAATGAAGTTTATGTTGTATATTGTTTTCGTTATTTCAATCTCTTTTTTCCGCGCTGGCCTTCCAACATAGGATTGTGTATACCTATTCCTATTCTAACAATTACATTCTTACCCTGTTTTCATATTCAAAATATGCTGATGTTTGAATGGTTTCTGTTGGTGTTTTTAAAAATGAGGCAGCAAAAAGAATTGATAGAACTATCTCTCAATGGATTGAAATGACTTTCAATAGCTTTCAATAATTTTATCAAGCATTGAGGGCTTTAAATAGCCAACATAAAATACATAATCTACATAATTTGAAATTTAAAAAAACAATCTAAAATATCTCAACAACTCAAACAACTTAACTAAAATTCGAAATTCAAATTATCTTAAACTAAACAACTTATTTTGCTAAAAACTACTGCAGTGACTTAAAGCAAATTCCAACAGTTTCGGCCTTTGAAAATGCAGGAAAGACGGTTATAGTGTCTAACCAGCCATATTTTTACAAGAAAGCAGAACTTTTTCCTGGGAGTGCTTTTGTCATTGGTGCAGACACAGTTGCAAGACTTGTACATGTAAGGTTCTTTCATTTGCTTCTACAAGATTGAGATTACATAAGATCAAGAATTTAGTAAATTCGATAAAGGTCCAACCTTTTTCTGAATGGAAAACACGTTGTCTTCCAAGAACACTGGGAAAGTGTACTTCATATTTTGTTCTTTTGATGATAGTGAACAAAAACGCTGCATTGTTGGCGGTAGTTGATAGTCTGGTGGTCTATTTTCTTAAACTATTCGTGTGTTCTCGTCTTTTACAATTCATGGTCTTATCCACTAAGTTTGGGAATACAATTATTGGGCGGAAGAGAATTTTCCCAAGAAAGGTCGAAGAGGCCAACGTAAAAGCACAGAAAGGGAAGCAACTTGTCCACAAGCTTGATGTTCAAATAGTGGTCTTTTTTTCCTAGTAGCTGGTTTTGAGTTCCCCTAGTTCAGCTACTCGAGGGAAAATCAATGTTCATAAGGCACTAAGCTACTGATGCTTAGTTAGGCGAGAAAGAGTTTCAAGTCAGGTTTTGAATTTGTGATAGAAAACCCAGCTATACCGCTGGTTTATAAGAGTATTTCCTAACCAACACCTGATGCAAGTTATATTCATGTATAGAAACACTAGCACTCAAATATAAGATTAAGTGTATACGAAGGAGATGAAACAAAAGTATGTACTTGGAAATACCAAAAGTTTTCCTTATTTGTGATTCAAGTTCTGAATTTTGCATAATCAACTTTGCTGATAAATGGGGTGATAACCTGCTATATAAATAGGAAGGTTCCCAAAAGTGTATGTGCTGATCTTTGCAAGTTGCTCTTTCCAGCCAAAGTACTATGGTAATGACTATGGAAAGATGTTGGAGATACTTCTGGGATGTAAAAACACGGGATGTACTTTCCTAGTGGGTGGTAGAAATGTTGATGGAACTTTCAAGGTACACTAACAAACTCTATGCAACCGTCATGTATCATAACACTTCATCTTTTCGAAACTCTTATGAATTCTATATCATGTCTATTTCTGTAGGTTCTTGAGGATTTCGACATCCCAGCAGAGCTAAAAGACATGTTTGTGCCTATACCAGTCGAGAAATTCCGTATGGATATATCATCCACTGAAATTCGAAAGACTCAAGGACTCTTGTAAGCCCGTTTGCGTCATTTTCTCTCAGGTATCTGCATTGGTACTTCGCTTCGTTTAAACAATTAGTTCTATCTATGTAACATGAAAATAAGCACCAAAAAGGAAAAAAACAGAAAGCTTTATCCATTTTCATCGTTTGCTCTTTCCAGTCTCAACAGAACTGAGAATGTGTGGAATTGTTGTTCTCTGAGTTGAGTTTCCTTACTAACATATGTATATTAAACAGTTCTTGGTTTTAAACATAATCAGATTCTGTCGATTTTACACCCAAATCGTTGATTTAACCTTTTTTTTCTTCATTATGATGTTTCCTGGGGTATTGCTTACAGTCTACTCAGAAAAAATAGCTGACTAAGAATTGTACAATTGAACATTGCCATCGAAGTATTACAATGACATGTAATCGACCTATCACTCGCCCCCTCCCCCATTACAAGTAGAGCATATGCAGAAGGAAAGAAATTTCTCAGCAAGACTTGTAGTCTAGTGGTATCAGTGGGAGTCATCTTCCACGCAATAGGCGTGGATTTGATTCTCACTATTTCCTTTTTCACTAGTCAGGCGCCACAGGCAGCACCACATCCGGCACCATAGTTATCGGTATGAGTTGTTGCTTCTTTCTCTTTAGAAACACCATCTGCACAAGAGAAAATGATTGTTGAAATGATACACAAGCAAACCAAAATCATCAACCACAGACTCCAAATGCCAACATTTGTTATATCTTCAATACCCCTTGTTCCTGTTGCTGTCAATTCCCTAACCATGTTTTGTCTATTTTATCTAAGTGGTTTATAGGGAGTGATATGATAAGAGCAGTTTGACAAGACTTTCTTATTACAAAAAAATGAGTTTCTCTTATCAAGTGATGGCTTTTAAAGATGGTTGGAGACTTGATAATGAGTGGTTAAAATAAACTTCCTTGTCTTTTAGGTAAAGTGTTCTGATTTTTTTAGATAGTGCTTATCCAAATGGTAGAATACTTGGGCACATGGCTAAATGTAGTGTGAACAGATTCTTGATTGTGATTCACACAATGACAAAAAGTTGTTGAGCTTGATAGGAAAGTTTGAGAGATTAGGGGGCGTTTGACCATGAAAATTTCACCTTCAACTTTAACGTCAAATATTATTATTTTTCTCAAATCTCAACCAAATCATGTCCAAATGCCTTCTAAGCATCGCAATTGCCTATTTTTATAGTAATTGATTAATGAGCATTCACATTTATGGGATTATCCACTATTTAATTGACCCTTCATGAGACTTAGGGGTTCAACAACTTGATTTCTATATACTCTTGGGATTATCTGTTAATAACTTTAGTTAGGTCGTTTGCCTCGAAAAAGTTCATAGCATGTCATCTTTCTTCAAAAAAAAAAAAAAGTTACTCATGCACTACCATCACATAATAATAATAATATGACTTGAATTTATTTATTTATTCATATTTGACTAAGTTATTTATTGTCAACTTGTTTCTAAATATGTTACAACTTGGAGTGAGTTGTTGTACAATTTGATGTGAATTCCAATCATATAGTACAATTTATTTGTAGAAATCTACTTCCTCCATTTGTAAATACATAGCATGTGGTCGAACTCGTCGCACAGGGATTGCCTAGTGAGGGTTACCTCTCATGTGTGGTTTGCGAGCTATTGCATAGGAACGGGGTTTTATCCTGTGCGCACCCAAAGGGTAGCGATTGCGGGTTCTGAAATTATAATCTCATGATAATTTAGTCTTTGCACCAAATGACCCCTAATAGTCTAATTATTTGAGGGTTGGGAACAAAAATAACATATTCAATGTAGTTCCATTAGTGGAGTATCAAAAGACATTCTTACCTCTATTTTATGAAGATAGAGAAACTATTTTCGATAGACGTTAGAGAACAAAAATATAAAGGAAAAAATGGTGGAAAGTATACCCCTTCCATATTAGGGTTATAGGTTTGAAAATTGGAAACATCAATAAAGACCAGTGACATGTGGACACTTGGTTTAAATTGTAACCACTAGCATACAAAAGATAACTTCATCGAAACTTCTAGATCTTCATATTCTTGTATGACACCTCCCCAACTAAGTCATGAGCCTTAATATGCATGGAATGGATATCGAATCGAGGTCTTAAGTTTGAGTCCTAAGAATAAAATTATCTTTGATAGACAATATTTTACTGGCAAAATGAGACTTTCGATGTGGATTTGAATTAATCAAACCCTAAAGCGAATATCGAATCATGCACATGGAATAATGACAATTTCCTTTTACTTTCATATAATAATGTACTGAAAATATAGGTAATTACATCAACAAATACACAATTCTTTCATCATTGAACAATTTACATAAATTACAATTACATTTTTTCATAATTTAATTTAATTTAATTTATACACAATCCACAGCCAATTTTCTTGAACTTTTTTTTTCTTTCCAATTTTGAGAAATGACTCAAAACTTTTTCTTTTGCTTGACAGGTCCTCTTGGAATCTTATTGAGCACTTCAGTATCAAATTTATTGTAAAGTTTCTTCATATCTTGGTTACCTTGCCTTACTAAATAATCCACCTCATTATGATACCTTTCATATAAAGCTGGTAATGTTGCTAGGCAAACAAATCCTACAAACCAATTCAAAATAAATCGAGGAATTCAAATCTCTTGGCCACTTACAAAATCAATAGTAATAAAAAAAAAATCACAATTCGAATCATAATGTCACAAGTTTGGGGGAGGGGGGTTGTTGAATTTGTGATTTTAAATATGTCATGACGTTTCTAAGGTTGTAAGGGCTGAAATCATGAGAAATTTAGAAGATATAAGAATGTGTCATTCTATTTTTGAGATTATTTTCTTTCTTCTTAGTTTGTCTTGAAAAGAGTGACATATTTCTGTATTTGAAAAAAATCTAACTGTACTCATTTTACTCGTTGATGACATGATTTTATAATCACACAATTATCATGACATATTTAAAATCATGTCTAATCGAATATGTGCATATAAAATGAAACGGACGGAGTATATTATAAAAGAAAAATAAAATCCAAATTCCAAAACTTACCTAGGTACAATAAATTCAGAGAGCTGAAGTAACTTCCAATAACTGATAATATCCATAGGAAAGTGATTGCCTAAGACCAAGTAAACCAAAAAAATTGGAGTTAAAACAAAATTTTCAATAGAAAATAAAAATAAAAGAATTAAATGAAATTGCATATGATAAAAATGTACCAGGAAAAAATTTCTGAAATCTTTTCCAGAAGAAATTTCATAGAATTTCACCAATATATAGTTGAATTTCCCACATAACCATCTAAATGTTGAATCAGATATCATAAATGCTCGAAAATCGGGAGGATTCCTGAAAAATTACGATTTTTTCACACTATCAGATCATCAAATTGCCCTTCATAAAAATAGATGAATCCCTATACTCAAATTGAAATTTCCAACGTTATACCAATAATTATGATGGGATGAATAAGACAAGTTATCTGTTACAATAGATAAAATCAACCTGATAATGTAACAATTTTGTATACTATCGATGTATATAAGTTAAATTCGAGAATGTATTGTGAAAATTTACCAATCAACAAATCCAGCTCCCATAGACCAAATGAAGAGAATTAACATGATGCTCATGGAAATATGACACAAAAGGGTCACAATATTATACTCCATAACTTCAAAAAGGGACCAAATTAGTGTGAATCCAATTAAAATGGATCCTGTTATTGTCTTGTCTCTCCATAACAATATGTCAGCAACTGCCAAAGAAAAAAAATAAAAAAATAACAAGTTATAATTAATAAGAACAAAGAAATAACATGCAACATAGGCTTATATACTGGTCTGCGAATAAAGTCTGAAAAAAAAAAAGTTACATATATAGTGATAATCTTAATGGTATACATATGTTGTTTTTTGAAGAAAATTATGAGTTTAACACAAAACAGAGGTTGTCACACTATATTAAGAATTTATTTAGGATATACGAGCTAATTCATGAGAAAATTATACGCAGTATTTCAATGGTTGTAGATGAGATTATTCTCTACATCTTATTATTTCGGGTGTACCAACAAAGTCTCACATCAAAAATTGATGAGAAAAATTAAGTGTTAAAATTCACAAAACCACTTTTAGCCGTCCCTATAATTGAAAAATAGTCATTGTCTTCGAGTTTTTAAATTTTCACAAGTGAACCTCCCAAGATCATGTCCTAGATCAGTATTTTCAGTCGTGAAATTTGAAACTCATGTGACAATGTGTCTATTTTTCAAAAACAAGGCCAAAAAGTAACAAGGAGCTATTTCTACAATGCTGGAATAATCTTAATGATTTTAAACTTCTTCGAGAAGATTATACAGAATTTGCACAAAACGAACAATATCACACCATGTTAAAAATTCATGTGTGCTAATTAGCCCTACACGCCTCAATATATATACTAAGTTGATATCCAATGTACATAGGTTTATCTATAGATGATTATATGTATACATGTAAAAGACATATTTGTTTACATAGTTCAGATTGAAAATAATGAATTCAATTGAACACGCAAAAACATCATGGATCCACCTCTCTTCTAAACAAAATGAAGAAAAATTAAATGAATATAACCTTTTCCTCCTCCAAGAATTGCATGCATTGGCCTATTATGAGCCAAAGATCTTCTTGTTGGTGCCAAATGTGAAGGGTGTGGATCATCAGAATCAGAAGAATAAATTGGCATATTGTTTTTATAAATTATATGAACAATATTGAATTATTATGAGTAATAATATTGTTGAAACTTGTTGGAGTTTGAATATAATAGAAAAGTAGTATGGTTTTAATTTTATTTATAGTTTGTTGTAATTCTAAATTTTGGAAGACAAGTAAGTATACATACAATACAAGAAGCAAAGAAAGGAATAGCTTTAGCATGGCATTGAAGTTTTGCTTCACATAAGAAATCTAAGCTAGCTAGCTTCTTTGTTGTTGTAGCATTATATTACTAATTCATCTTTCTTTAGCATGTGTGTGAGTTTTAACATATAGGTTACCACCGAAGGTTGTGGTGAGATGGATAGGATATCTCTTCATCGTTACTTAGAGGTCTCAATTACTAATTCATCTTCTTTGGCATGTGTATGTGTTTTAACGTATAACTTACCACCGAAGGTTGTGGTGAGATGAATAGGATATCTCATCATCGTTACCTAGAGGTTTCAGATTCAAATTTTCACAATGAAAAAAAATCTTGATAAGAAGTAGTGG